CTTTGGTATATCTTGACAAAGGAGCCCTGTTGACACAGTTGGTAAGCGCTTGGCTGACAACTGAAAGGTCAGTGGTTCAGACATACCAGTTGCTGCACAGGAGAAAAGACCTGGCAATCTGCTAAAGATTACAGCCTAGTAAATCCTTTGGGGGTAGTTCTGCTCTGTCCTATGAGGTTGCTATGAGTTGGAATCAATGCAAAAGCACACAGCAACATATGTTGACAACTCACAGGTATAAATGTGCTCCATAGTCATATAATAACTTTGTACCTGACATCTCTGTTTGAATATCTCACTGGCATCTCAGATTTACTATATCTAATACAGAGTTCTCAATTTATTTTATGTCCTACTCTTTTTCTTTCTAGTAAATGGTACCATCCTCTATCTATCCAAGATAATAAACCCAGAAATGTAAGAATCATCATAGATGCCTTCTTTATCTATAAATACATTTCATGCTTAAGTCCTGCCTGATCTTTTCCAAAATTTATCTTGAATAAAGCTTCTCTTCATCTCTAGGGATATCAACATGATCCAAGCCTCCATCATCTCTCATTTGGCTTAATACAGCAGTCTTCTGCCTGGTGTTACTACTTCTAGTTTTGCCTTTCCATCCAGTCTGTCCTGTACTCAGGAGCCAGAGTAATTCTTTTAAAATTAAAGGAGATTACAGGTTATTCCACCTGATTGAAAAATTCTCCAAAGATTTTTTTTTTTCCACCTAGAAAAGATCCAGACTACTTTTCCTTAATGTTATTGTAGTGGTCACTTGCTTTTGGTATATTGGCTTTCCCTTTGCCCAAATCAATACTTGTCTCACCTGTCTAGCAGTTTTCCCTCCCTTACCCTCCTATTCCTGGTAACCAACAAAGAAAGTTTCATTCCATATGTAAACCTTTCCTTGACTTTTCACAGTAGTGGACTCATATTCTCCATGTCTTTTGTCCCTTGCACTTCTGTCTATCTTTGTCACAGACCCCTCTCCCTATTACTTATAATGCTTACTCCAGTTACATTATCTTTTCCTGTCAGTTCCTTCCCATAAACTTTTATTCAGTGTGTTTGCTATTGTCTTTACTATCTTCCTGGATTGTTTTTGTTCAAGCTATTTGTATGGCTGGCTTTGTTTCATCCTTCATGTTGCCTTTCGAGGAGGCCTTTCGAAACCAGCTGTTTCATGTAAAGTAATTCTTTCTTGATATATGCTCTCTCTCTCTTTTTTTTTTTTTTTGACTGTGATTTGGGTGCAAGTTTACAGAGCAAATTTCGTTTTCCATTCATCTGTTCATATACATTTCATTTCATGACACTGATTGCAGTCCCCATAAGGTAAAGTCTGTCTTCCCACTTCTTCTCTGTGGTACCCTTTCCTGTGTCCTTCTTTCATATGCACTCCTGCCCTCTGAGCTATCTCCCTGTGTAAATACTGCCCTTCTGATCACCCATGGTTGATTGTTCTAAGCAGTGTACTTACCTGCTGTAATTTCTCGTGTACAAGGTCTGTCTGTTGTTTGGCTAGAAGCCAAGGGAGTAAGTTCAATTCCAGGCCCAAAGATTGACTAGGGGCCATAGTCATGGGTGTTTCACCAGTTTCTGTTAGACCAATAAGCTTGGTCTTTTTTATGATTTTCAGTTTTGGTCTACATTTTTCTCCCATGCTATCCAGGATCTCCTATTATTCCTTCTGAGTGGTTGACAGTGGTAGCTTGGTACATCTAGTTCTGGTCTCAGGGTCATGTAGGCTGAGATTCTCATGGTCCATTGGTCCCTGGGACTGTTTCCATGTGTGTTTGGTTTTCTTCATTCTCCTTTGCTCTAGAAGAGGAGAGACCAATTGTTTTATATTAGACGGCTGCTTGTAAGCTTTTAAGACCCCAGTTGCTACTTGCCAAACTAGGATATATTTTTGTTGTATGCCGTCGCGTCGGACCCAACTCATAGCGACCCCTCCTTGGGTTGCCGAGGCAGTATCACTACGGTATCACTATACAGTATCACTAGATTGCCCAGCCTTCCTTCCGAGAAGTGGCTAGGGGTTTTGAACCACCAGCCTTCTGGTTAGCAGTCAAGTGCCTTAGGCACTATGCTACCAGAGCTCCCAAGTAGGATGTAGAACATTGTTTTTGTGTAGTATGTCATGGCAGTTGAGCTTGATATCCCCATGACTGTGGTCCTGAGCCTGTGAGTTTAGCAACCCACTCCCTCAAGGTGTTTGGCTGTGGCTAAGAAGTTATAACTTTGCCCCTGTCAACTCTGTTATATATGTTGTTGTTGTTGTTGTTATGTGCCATCGAGTCGGCCCTGACTTATAGAGACCCCTCCTTGGGTTTCCGAGGCAGTATCACTATGGAAGTAGGATTGCCCAGCCTTCCTTCCGAGGAGTAGCTGGTGGGTTTGAACCGCCAGCCTTCTGGTTAGCAGTCAAGTGCTTTAGCCACTATGCTACCAGAGCTCCCCTGTTATATATATGGACATATAAATATGTATGTAGAAATATAGGCTGCCAAATTTATATATGGTCCTGGGTGTATTTCCTTTTGCCTATCCATACCTGATCATTTAGCGTGTCTACATATGTATCCACCGTAGATTTAAGTTTGTTATTACTTATAATGCAGTATTGTGTATGTAAACGTATTTACCTTTGTTGTTTGTACATCTTGTGCACTTCTCTGTATCTTCCTTTTCCTTAATAATATTGTAGTGATCACTTGCTTTTGGTATATTGCCTTTCCCTTTGCCCAAATCAGTACCTGTCTCTTACCTCGGAAGGAAGATGGGGCAATCTACTTCCTTAGTGATACTGCCTCGGCAACCCAAGGAGGGGTCGCTATGAGTCGGGTCTGACTCGACGGCACATAACAACAACAACAACCTCTCTAGCAGTTTTCCTTCCCTTCCCCTCCTATCCCTGGTACCCAACTAAGAATGTCTCCTTCCATGTGTAAATCTTTCCTTGACTTTTCATAATAGTGGACTCATGCTCTCTATGGCAACATTTTCTCTTTTATGCCATTTATAATGGGAGCTCTGGTAGCATAGTGCCTAAGGCACTTGACTGCTAACCAGAAGGCTGGCGGTTCAAACCCACCAGCCACTCCTCGGAAGGAAGGTTGGGCAATCTACTTCCCTAGTGATACTGCCTTGGAAACCCAAGGAGGGGTCGCTGTGAGTCGGATCTGACTGGACAACACATAACAACAACAACAACAACACTATTTATAACAGGATTTGATTATTTATTTATATTTTATTTTTTTGACTCTCCTACTTTAATGATTGCTCCATGAGAACAGGGACAGTTATCAGTTCCCACTGCCTAGTATATTATTGGCAAGTAGCTGTTGATACTTGATAGTTGCTGAGTAGATTAAAGCAAAAAAGAAAGGAAGGAACATTAGATCAAAAGCAATAGGTTAGGCTGTGTAGAAAATAGAAACTTCAGCATGTCAGACTTAATGAAATATTGCCATAATCCTGGAAAAAAATAAGGAAAACGATGATAGATCATATGTTGGTAATAATACATAAAAATTCTGAGAAGCATTAAAACTTAGTAGAAAAGGTGGGCAAAAGATATATATATATAAACCAATACAGATTGAGTAATTTCTGAGATAGAAGATTAAATAGTAGGTAATTTTCTCCATTTGATGAGGATTTGCTTTTGAGATTAAGTTGCTACTAGTTGGCAAGCAGGAAGCAGTGTTGCATTGAAGCCCTGACCCTAATTCTTATTGGCTGTGTGGCCTTAAGGAGGTTATCTTTGGTCTCTGAACTTCATTTTTTTCATCTGTCAGCTGAGGATAATGATTGCTGGTCTCCACTTCAAGTTGATGGCTATGATTCTCAAGTGAGATAATATTTATGGAGCTGCTTTATAAATATGTTTAATTAGTCTCCTAAAAATTCTAAATTAAGTATTTTTATTCACTTAAGAATACATGAATATTACTTTTTCATCTAGCTAAAAATTAAGGAATTTAGTTTTCATTGCCTATTCTATGTTATTTTCTTAATAGGCTTAAAAAACTATGAGTTACTGCTTTCATTTTCGTGGTAAGGAATATGACAGTAAGAGAGAACTTAAGCAAATTATACACGTTTTTATGTCAAGTCAGATATAGGTGGAATGGGAACTCTTAGTCTTAACACAGCAGCTTTTTGCTTGGTAATAATGATGAGCATGCACTGTTACCACAAGCCAAACACCAAACTAAGCACTTTAAGCATTATTTCGTTTAACTCACCCAACAAAATTGTGTTAATTAGGTGCTGTTATATTCCCTTTTATAGATGAGAAGACTGGAAGTCAGAGATGCTAAGTAATTTGCCCACGTTCACATTGTTAGTAAGTGGTAGAGCCTGGATTTTAACTTAGGCATTCTAATGCCCAAGAACTATTAATCACTGTATTATAGTGTCTTACTTTATCATTGTAGGCTTCCTGTTTCACGAAGATGTACTAAATATGTTCAGTCTTTTAAAAGTTATGAATTGAACATTTTATTCTGTTACAAATATAGTGAAGCCTTTTATTCATATGGTCTCTCACAATCACGTGTAAGAACATAAAATGAAGCCAGAAGTGCACATTGAAAACTCCTAGAGCTGTCAGTTTAGATAAATTATTCTGTGGTTTTCTAAAACATTCAGAGATTTTTTTTCTTTTCTTAAATATCTAGAAATATGGACACTGTCAATAATCATTGAATGAACTGCCATTGCTAGATAAAGTTGCCTTTGTTGTGCAGAGTTACTGACTCTTTTGTATTCAGTCTGAATCATGGGCTTTTGAAAAAAGAAATATAATGTAACATGATAAAGATTGGCAATCTTTCTCCATCTCTCTCTTCCAGGCGTTTTTTAGTGGCCGACTGAAGGCAAGAGGGAACATCATGCTGAGTCAGAAGCTTCAGATGATTCTTAAAGAAAACGCCAAGCTTTGAAGAGCACACTAGATGGCTAATAAAAACAGAATAATTAAATTCTCTCTTCACTAAAATATGCTTGATTATTTAGCAAAAGTGATCAAAACTAACATACAGAAGTTGCTTAAACATTTTCAGATTTCAGATAACTTTTCAGATTTTCATTTTCTACTAATTTTTCATGTATGTTATTTTTACAAGGAAATGTAAGCTGGCCTATAATTAAGCTTTTGTTCTTAGATCTATATCTTCATAATAAAAAGTTTTTGCCCAAGTTGAGTCTTCTTAGAATTTATGCTAACATTTATAAATTTAATGAAAATTAAGTGAGTAAAGCCATTTGGATACCTGTTGCACTTTGTTTCTTTGCTATAATTTTCTTTAGTTTATTCATGCTTCAGTAGCTTGTTAGTCCTCTTGCTCCTTAAATTTATCGTAATATTTAATATTTACTTAATATTGTTGAATGCACCTTTATCCTTAATTGTTTTCTTTTATTAAAATATTTATTTTGATTTGGGAAAATTTACAGAGCAAATTCACTTTCCATACAGCAACTCACATGCACTTTGTCTCATGACAATGACTATGATTTTCCACAATCCAACAACCCCCCTCCCATTTCCTCCTGATAGTTACCTCTTCCCTGTGTCCTTCCCTCCCACATACTCCTGTCTCCTGAAGCTATCTCCCTGTGCAAACACAGCTCTTCTGTTCTCCCATGATCAATCTCTTCAAGGAGTGTATCTACCTAATGTAAATGTTCATCTCATTTGCCTGGTTTTTGTTTGGCTGGAAGCCACAGGAGTAGGTTCAATTCCAGACCTGAAGGGCAGCTAGGGGCCATAGTCTCATGGGTTCCACCAAGCTCTATCAGATCAGCAAACCTGGTCCTTTTTATTTATTTATTTTTTAAATGATTTTGAGTTTTGTTCCACATTGTTCTCCCACTCTGTCTAGGATCGCCTACATAGATCTCCCTCTGAGTGGGTGACAGTGGTAGCTGGGCATTATCTAGTTCTTCTGGTCTCATAGTTATATAGGCTGTGGATTGCATGGTGTACCAGTCGCTTAGACTAATTGTTTCCATGTATCTTTGGTTTACTTCATTCTTCTTTGCTCTGGACGAGGAAAGACCCATCATTGCATCTAGATGGCCACTTGCAAGCTTTTAAGATCCCAGTTGCTACTTGCCAAAGTAGGATGTGGAACAGTGTTTTGTGTAGTATGTTATGCCAATTGACGTCCCCTGCCTGCAACTGTGGTCCCAGGCCCACAGATCCAATTACTTGCTTCCTCTGGGTAGCTGGGTGTGGCCAAGAAATGACAACAAACTTGCCCCTTGTCAGCTGGGAATTCTTATAGAGAAGACAAATACATTTGTAGAAACGTTGTCTGCCAACCCTATACATGGGCTTGGGCCCACTCCCCCATGCATAGGCATACTTAATAGTTCAGTCTGTCCATCCATCTACCCACCCATATATCAGTGTTTGCCTTCACTGACAGCACAGTACTGTATATGCAAAAGGGTTCATCTTTGTTGTTTGTACCTACCATGCAATCTCTATGTCTTCCTCTTCCTCAATGCCACTGTGTTTATCACTCACATTTGGTACATTGCCCTTCTCTTCACCCAAATCAATACTTGTCTGTACCTGTCTATCAGTGTTCCCTCCCCTCCCCTCCCACCCCTGGTAAGCAGCAAAGAAAATTCCCTTCCATATATAAACCAGTCCTTGACTTTTTACAGTAACAGACTAGTACAGTATTTGTCCTTCTGTGATTGACTTATTCAGTATAATGTCCTCCAAGTTCATCCATGTTATGCGGTGTTTTGCCATTTCTACATCATTCTTTAGGCTTGCATAGTATTCCATTGTATGTACCATAGTTCAGTTGTCCATTCCTCAGTTGATGGACACCTAGGTTGTTTCCTTCTTTTTGCTATTGTAAATAGTGCTACGATGAACATGGGTGTTCCTATGTCTGTTCTTGTCCTGGCTCTCACTTCTTTAGGATGTATACCTAGTAATGGAATTGCTGGGACAAATGGTCTTTTATTTATTTATTTATTTTTATTTAT